TCTCCTGTTAAGTTCATTACCCAAATCCTTTGATCACTTTAAGGATGCCCTTCTTTATGGTAAGGAAGGTACTATTACTTTGGATGAAGTCCAAACGGTAGTGAAATCCAAAGAATTTTCAAAGTCGAAAGATTTGAAGATTGAAGATAGTGGTGAAGGCTTAAATGTGTCAAGAGGAGGGGGTGGGCGTAAAGGGATGTCCAAATCAAAGAGGTCTGACAAGTTAAAGGTAAAATGTTTAAATTGTCAGAAAATCGGTCACTTTAAAAGGGATTGTCCTGAAAGAAATTTCAATGAAGATCCTATTAAAGCTGTAGTTGCATTGGGTGAGGAAAGTTATGAGGATGCCGAAGCACTAGTAGTATCGAGTTTCGAAACTGAAGATAGTTGGGTCATTGACTCAGGTTGCGCTTATCACATGTGTCCAAAAATATAATACTTTGAAACTTTGAAGATGGTGCAAGGTGGAGTAGTTCGCTTTGGAAACAATAAGGCATGCAAGGTTCATGGTATTGGTACGGTCAGATTTAAAATGTTTAATGATCATGAACTTATTCAAAATGGGAGGTATGTTCCAGAACTCAAGCGAAATTTGTTATCTATAAGTATGTTTGATGATCTAGGCTATTGTACTAGATTGAACGTGGAGTGTTGAAGATTTCGCGTGATGAATTGATTATTGCTAAATGGTCTAAAATATGTGGTTTATATATTTTAGAAGGTTCAAATGTTATTATTCATTCATTATTAACTAGTGGAGGCTTTCATGACAAAGAAGAGCTATGGGATTTGAGTTTAAGGCATTATGAATGCCTTGAGAAAGTTTCAGAGGAGTACATAGAATTTTGCAGAAATCAAGGGATAAAAATGCATGTTACCACTGAGTTGTTTTTGAGTTTTGAGGAAGAGCCGAGGTTAAAACAACTTACTTGGTTGATAGAGAATTTGTTCAGAAGAAGAATAGTGAAAACCAAGGGAGAAACTATAATGGAGAAAACTCAATTTGAGATGGAGTTTCCTACTATAGATGCTAGTAGTAGTGAGAGAACGATTACAGAAATCTCTGATTATTATTTGACTTATGATAAGTTAAGGAGGGTTATTGTAGCATCTCAAAGGGATGGTTATGTTAGCCTTAGCTATCATGTTTTTAATGTGGCTGAAGGACTGCAAAATAAAAGAAGAAAATTCTTCAAAGAGGCATTTGAAAACAGGTGGAGTCAAGGGTGGTTGAAAAATCATACTTGTAGGCTTGTTAAATTACCTAGGCAAAAAAGGGTAATTGGGAATAAGTGGATGCAAGTTGCGAGATCAAGATTCAAGGGTTGCTTAAATTATTGATTAAAATTTCAACTTGGTAGAGAGAAGTAATGTTGTTGATTATTAAATTGGTATCAACACGGCTTAAAGTCAAGGTGGAGATTATTGTAATTGTGCCTTAAAAGCTTTGTTGATGAAGAGAAAGAAAACATATTTTGGAGATTGCATTTACCGCGAAAATCAGACGAAAAGTCGGTCGGTGAACAATGTTGGCCGTACGGATGAATAGTTACGCTTGTATGGTAAATAGTGTTGTCCGTACGGTGAATAGTGTTTTCACATTTTTGAGCTTTTTTCGATTCGGTCCATGGATCGATGTATTTTGGGTTTTATTTGTTGGGTATTTGCTATTATAAATATGTATATCTTATATTTTTGGTGTGTGACAATCTTAAGTTTTCACCAACAAGGGAGACCAAGGGTTTAAAGGTATAACATAAGGTTTCAGCTATTCACAAAGAAAACCTTAGATTACACCCTGAGTTTGAGTGATTCATATATTGAGAGTTGGAGAGGTAGGGAAACACTTGTGTGTAAAATATGGTTGTTCTTGAGCGCCTTCAGGGTTGTTCTTGGGAACCTGAAGGCGAAGACTATTTTCTTGTAACTCATCTGTAATCTCTTGTAACAACTTTCTGAGTATAGTGAATTGGAGAGCTGCTCTCTCCCCTAGAGTAGATCGTTTGATCGAACTGGGTAAACAAACCTTCAGATTTTTCTTACCTTATTCTGTTATATTATCTGTGTACGGATTATTATTGTTGTAGACCATTTATTTTGGTTGATATTGTTCTTTGCTTCACAAATTGATATTGAATTTTATCGTGATTCACAACAAGATTCACAACGCATCAAGATGCAATTTTAATTATACTCCATGGAAGACATTAATGAAGTAAGGGAAATACTGTTCATAGAAAAACTTGGCAGCTGTCCAATTTAACGCTTAGCTAATGGCAATCACTCAGATAAGAAATCAGTGGGATCAAGATGGATGACCACATACGAAGACTTGGAACAGGTAGGCTATTTTGAATACAAAGGTTATTTGATCAAAATCATTTAGAATATTGTGTTTGTTAGAAGTTTAAGTATCTACATCAACATAAGAAACTATTGTGTGATATTTCGATGTAATCAAAATGCTTGTCTCAAACTTATTAAATAATGAAGATCGTGATTATTTGCCAATGATTTTAACACCATTGAAGAACGGAGTAGGAAAAACAATGACGAATGTCAAACCACTATATGTCTCTATGTATCTTTTCTTTCTCCCCTTATTTCCCTTTATGCATTGATTACTATATCTATTGCATTATTACATCATTTGTATGTTATTTAGGTTAGACCTTACTTATTTTGATTTAATGTGTAAGCTTAGGTATGCGATGCATCAAACCTATTGGATCATCATAAATCCAATTCTATTTTGAGTGAATTTCTATGTAACTGTTTTTAAATCGCATTGTTTAAAGATGTTTTGGTTATCTTGTAAATGATTTCCATTAGAAAGAATCATGCCTTTAGTGGTGTCTTATAATGATTTTGTTGGTTTAATTTATTGAAAAACTTCCAAGGTCTCTTAGTTTTGCGCTTTTCTTCCACATATTTTAAAAATTTTGAGTTTATTTTATGGGACCTAAAATGTTTTTGAAATTGTCTTTTTGGGGATATGTCTATTCAACTCCCCTCTAGACCTGTTTGTGTCTATATTCTCACCCAACACTAACCACTCGTAGGTAAATGAAGGATGTTACACTTATACACCACTAGATGATTTTAGACGTTTTAACATCTTGATTATTTCGTTAATGAATCTATCAATTGTCACACCAAACTCGACTGATCCCTTTGTTGACCTACGATGATATGTTCTCCACATAACCTTCAAATCTTTATCAATCTCCAGCTCAATGTTGTTGTATTTCACCTTTCCTTCAGTATCAATCACATGTTCTTATTTTTTTCAAAAATAAGTGTATGTAATTTGAATGAAAGTGCATAATTTAAATGCACAAAAATAAAAAAACACAACGATGTATACTAGTTCCCCTTTTTAACAAAGGGTGCATCTAGTGCCCTCACACCCATGAGAGATTTCACTATGTCAAAATTTGTATAAACCTCACACCAATGCCACTCATACACTCTTCTAACACAAATAAGAAAGCACACCACTTTCTTTTACACTTGAATAGAAAGCACACCACTTTCTGTGTCAAACAATGATCACTTAACACTTTATAAAAAACAAAGTTTAAATAATGTATGGAGAAGTTTTTGCATTTGAACCAATTATGTAGAAATTGGTCTTCTCTCTTTTGATCATAATCCAAACATATGAGCACACTTAAGTAGAATAATATGAATGAAACTCTTTTCATGAAATAAAAGTTATGCACAAAGATTTAATTTGGATGGATATTTAAACACTTGAAAAACTTGTTTGAATTATGTAAAAATGATGGCAAGAGGTTAATTTGAATCTAAAAATTCTAGTTTAAATAGATGATGAAACACCTCTTGAAATGACGTCATTGTTTAATGAAAATAATCATGAATCATGTGACAATTATTTGGAAAAGGTATGATGAATAATTGCACAGAAGATGTATGAAAAAATTTCAGATTTTTCAAAAAGTGCAAGGTGCATCTGGTTGCATAAAAAGTGCAACTAGTTGCACTTTTGAAAAATACCTTGAAAAAGTGAATGTTACAATGAAAAACTTGATTTTCCACTTTGAAACTTCACGAAATCAGATGATATGCAAAAGGAATGATTAGAAAACTTTTGAGATGAATATACATGATAATTTTCAAGTCATTAAGATATATAATATGAATTGTAATGCATACTTTAATCACCTTGATTATTTTCTTTAATTTCCAAAGCTTATAATCATATAAGCTTGATTGTGCTGGCCTTCAAGCTTTGTCTTCTTTTTATTGATGTGTTTATCTTCATCAAAACTTTAACCAAAGTCAAAAATAACTTTTCTTCACAAATTGATCTTACCCAACTTTCTGTTCTCAGCGTAGGACAAAGATTATCCAATTTGAATCTTAGAACAGCGAAACTGATGTTGTTCTCCGGAAGTAAAAAAACCAACAAGAAGTTTTACGTCGTTGAAGAACACAAATGCCATATACGAATATTTTATACAAAATTTGGATTTATTATGGACTACACACAATGGTCGATGCAATTACAGTCATACAAAACTGTCGACAAAATCTCAACCGTAAAAATTTAAACTATAAAATATTTCATAATACTGTTAATTATTCGATAAATGCACAAGCTTCTTAAAAAACCAATAAAATTTAACATTATTGATTTTTTTTTTTTAACATTTTAGAAAAAATCCAATCATAGAGATTTTTTATTTATTTGTATTTTAAACGGTATATTTTTAAAAGTTCATACCAGACTTTTATAATGGCCTACCAAATTTTTTAGTTAAACTATCAGGTTTTTAATAAATTATTTTTAACTAAAAAATTGACAAGAAGAATATTTTGAATATTATGAAAAATTGGGGTTTTCAAGTACATTGGACATTAAACGACAATGCGTTTACTTCCCATTAGACGGCTCAAGATTTTGAATTGAACACTAGCAATAGCAAGAAAACACAAACCCCAATTTTCGCCCCTATTGAGAAACCGCTCCAAAAATGTTGAAAATCTCTCGCATGCTTCCTTCTTCATCTTCCAGGTACTCTTTCTTCATTCTTGCATTTTCTCTCTTGTTTCGTTTGCATAAAACTAATCACACTGTGAAACAAATTAACAGGAATCATCTATTCGAAGTTCTTTCCTCTAGGAAAATTGAAGTTCGGGATTTCTCTACTGCAACAAATAACTATTCTGCTAAAGGTTAATTTAATTTAATTTAATTTAATTTTTCTGCATTTATATATGGTTACATTGAGTTAATTGATATGTTTATGGAGTTTCAGGATATAGTTCAGATCGTGTATTTGCTCCTTATTCTGTTTACAAGGGAAAAGCTGCATTTTCACTCACTCCTTGTCTTCCAACTTTCACTAAGTTGGATGTAATTTCCTTTTCCTAATCATAATTTATTAACTTAAATATGCAATTTTGTTTTTATTGTGGTATCCGATAATCTGTGTTTCATATTTATCGATTCTGTTTGTTACACAGTCTGGGGCTCTCGTGGTTGATCGTCACGGTTCGATCATGATGAGTTTCGTGCCTGCTGTCGGGGAGCGCAGATATGACTGGGAGAAGAGACAGGTAATTTTGTTTTTCTGCTTATGGTTTCTGTTATGCAAATACTTAGGGTTATAGAGTACAAGATTTGTTTAAATATGCTATGCTTGTTGCACGCAGTTGCTCTGCTATCGCTCATGTCTCATGTTCGCTAATAAACGGGTACAAACAACAGTCATACATGTTGAAAAAGAATTACAAATGTGGAGACTTTAACATTTATAAATGGGAGAACCCACACACCTATCACCATAAGATTTTCGGCGAGTATGTGGTGTGTATCTCACAAAAGTGTCTTGCTCATAAAGAAATTTCCCATAGTGTAAAATGCTCCCGTGTGTTTGACCCCCCAATTGACCCCAACACCTGCTTAAACTCTAAGCTCGTTTTAAGCTTGTATTACGGTCAAGAAATATGTATGCTGTTTCATGTTTTCAACTTTTTTTTCCTTGTTATTTTGCAATAGAGAACAACATTTAAACAACTTGGCCTGATATATTGTGTCTGAAGTTCAATATAATACTTGTAGGAGGAAATAAACAGTGATATAAAATCTTTGATACTCCATTATCTCTCTTTCTCTGATGGCAATTACATTTTTTTATAGAGATTTGCCCTATCAGCTACTGAAGTTGGTTCTTTGATAGCCATTGGCCCCCAAGATTCATGTGAATTCTTTCATGACCCCTCAATGAAATCAAGGTATTTTTTTACAATTCTCTTGGATTCATAATTGATGGCCAATTCAGTATCTCATGAGAAAACTATATAATAGAAATGATTAGAATCACATTACATGTAGCATTAACATATGAATAGTTTTTTTTTAAAAATAAAATTTTATACCATTTTAAAGTTGATTAGTAACAGTTAAGTAAGCCTTATGCTGCAGTAATGCTGGCCAAATAAGGAAGAGCTTGTCAATTAAGCCTCATAGCAGTGGCTACTTTGTCTCTCTGAGTAAGATTTGTTTTACGAATTTTTTTCACCTATTACATACACTGGGTTGCAGTGTACAAATAATACTAAATTCTTTATGGTTTTGTCACCCTCTTTGATAGCTGTTGTCAACTCCGTGTTAAATACCAAAGACAATTTCAGTGTTCCTGTTACAACTGCTGAGTTTTCTGTGATGAAGACAGCTTGCAGTGTATGTCTCTTTTCTGCTTAGTTTTCAATAGAATCACTTTAATTACGTTATTATGTTACAGCTTTCATAAGTTATGTGTTTCTGGTTTCTGCTTGCCATATGTATAATAAGAATGATGTGGTTATTATCTATTTTCTTTCATCATCATTATTTTATCTAGCATCAGAAGAGAGGAATTAATTATCTTTTCATTTTCTGTGCCAATTGTACTATTTAGCAACTTTGGACTTGTCATAAAACCTTGGTTGATACATTACAAAAATGTCACCAAGCTTGATTCAACATTTTTAAGCCATTAAGGTAATGCTTGAAATATAGGTAAATCTATGTTATTTTTTGGCTAACTATGATTAACTTAATGCACACTTATGATTTTGGTTCATTCATAACTTAGTAAATTACCGAGGTTTAGCAGAATTGAAAATCAGCATATTGAAAACTAGACATGTCATCAAACTGATGAAAACATTGGCCATAATTCAATTGTCAAACTGTGGTTCAATCATGACCCTCTATCCACAATTAGGGCTGCTGACATCAAGTGTTGATATAATTACACCTTCAATAACATTTTGTAGAATGCGAGTTTAATTAGTCTTAACAATTTCTGATTGATTATGTACATGAAACTTTAGGTTATTATTATTGTTGTTGTTAAGAGTTTGTCAATTTACTTTTTGTTACAGTTTGCATTGCCACACATTATGGGCTGGGATCGTCTAACTAATCAGAAGTCCAGTGAGACAGGAAGCTTTCAACCCAATCAGCAGTCCGGTGGGAAAGTTAGCTTTCAACCAAATCGACAGTCCGGTGGTACAGTTGGCTTTCAACCGAAGACGAGCCCACAGATTTTAGACTTGGAATGGGAAAAGTGAATTAGTAAAATATGAAATGAATCTTTCTTTGTTGTGCTTCAATTGCATTTTGTGTATTATCAATCCAAAGACTAGAATAGGATGGCTCGGGGAAGATAACGTGTAAATTGTAATATTTAAGAAAGAGACACGAGAAGAATGTATTATTATATGTTGACGCCGTTTCACAATTTGTCGTGTTATTGTTATTTTGTTGATGTTTACTCGTCTGGTTTTCTGCTGTTTTTGTATACTTGGCTAGGAGTGACAAAATTTGCCTGTCCCGTTAGGCATGTCCGTTATACCTGCACTTTAGTGCGAGGGAGACCAACAGTTTAGATCCTCATCCTTTAATATGTGTCTGACCTGTCTTGCTTTGTTTTTTTTTGCGAGTTTTTGTGGGTACGAACATTTACATAAACTTTTACATTTTTAGACTTATAGGTATAATGGCTGTGGATTTAGGTACAATGGCCGTGGATTTTTTCCGCCCCATTCTCACTTTTTTGCAAGACGGACTTTGGCTTTAGCCCCACATCCTCCACTATGTCCGTCCTATCCCATTCCATTTTTACGTGTTTTTGCAAGGGCAAGCCTAAATGGGACGGACATGCTTATAGGTTGCTAAAAGTTAGAACATAAATCATAACCACATATATTCTGAATGGATGACAGTTTAATGGTAAGTTTGTTAATATTCATATCCACTCCTTTGAAGTTAGTTTTCTGTCAGACTGAGTAAATAAGGTTCATCATGTGGATATGAAACCTTGTGAACTTTTTCAAACCTGATATCTTTTGAATCATCTAAATATTGAGGCAGTCAAAAGGGTAGATTTTATTTCTCCATTTTTTCCCAATCGAACACTCTGAGTTGTAATCAAAACTTACACTCAGATGACTTAGACAAAGCAATGTGCTAGTAGGTTTAGTCAATTACAAAAATATGTTAGAGGTTAAAATTGGACTTCATAAGAGTTGTAGATGGATTGGAAAATTTTCTACATGAATTATGCATTGGCCAATTTTTGAAATATGGCATGACAATTGACGAGTTAGTTGAGGCCAAAGAACAAGCTACCTAGTTTGACCTATCTACCTTTTTTTTTCTTCTGTTCAAACATCTCTAACTAAACAATTTATGGCGCAAACGAAAATTGTAATATTAGGTCAGTGTGTCCTATTGTCTTTAAGTAAGCCACTCATTTAAACATTTTGCCCTTATAAGTTTCATGTTTCGAAGTTATGAATTGTCATAAATGTCGTAGCTCAAGGACCACATGCCACAATTGACCTCGGCCCAATATGTTATAGGCATATGGAGTGTATAAGAGTTCTTAAATGAGAAGCAATGAGGTGATCATCTGATTGGCACAGGACGAGACTAACACGTTAGAGAGATTCTCAAAAATAGGCCATGTGCCAAATCCCTAATGGAACGGGCCAGATTGATTGAAACCGAGGAACAACCTTAGACAATTGAGACTTTTATTAGGTTTAAAAGATTATAACTACCTACCAATAGGGTTAGGCCAGACGTCACATTCACAAATCATTGACTAAAGACATCTTGCTTGATATATCAATAGCAGGGACCTTACTCTTGTACTCAACACAAGTATAGTCAGAGTTCACGATAGAGCTCGGTAAAATGTTCATGGGTTGCACCCTTTCAACAAAAGCTTTCACTCAATCAACTATCGTTCATCAATATGATACACATTTTGCAACCCCCTAGTGAGGATCAACAAACCTTAGGAGAAATGTAAACAAGATTCTTGGCAAGTAAACATTTGAAGGTATCCACCATAAGTCTATTTAACATGACCTCTGAACCCTTACCTTTACGTGAATACCTATTGTGTTTCAACGAATCCACCATTAAAGTGGTTAATCCTAACTAATATATGTTTGTATCTTTTCAAAATAGCCTGATATATGAGCACTTGAATGAATCGCTACCCTAGTAACCTGTTGGTTCAATGAAACAGATAATGACGATAGCAGAATGTTACGTCAAAGCCATTAAAAGTAACACAGAGAAAAGGACAAGAGATGCCAAAGAGCAGCAGTGGGACAAACTCCTAAAATTAATGCAATAATAACAATCATCAATTAATTAGAGACAAACGATTATTAATGCAAGTCTTCTTAGGCCATACAGACCATAAATGCAAGTCTCGATAGACCCTATTAGCTTCTCTGACGTTTTTACTAGGAATCCTTTGAGCGACTACAACTAAATCCTTAACACCTACAACCCATTAAAAGATCCTTAGTAGAGTTTTCAAGAAAATAAGTACAGATTGGTGGATACATTTCCACCAAAAACAACTTTTGGAGTGGACGACAACACAAAGACCACCAAAGGCAAGTACATCGTAGTAAGCGCCCCTCATCGTACAAAATAATCATAAGGCTCCCAACATTAAACATTAGTAAGGCAACCCTATCCATACTTTACCCCACCTTGAAGTATCTTCTAGAAATCAAACAAGTAGGTATCATAAAAGGGGATTAAGAGATAGCTACAAATGGCAACTCACCACCGAGATCAATCACCTCTATGTTAACTTCGTAGATTTGGACCCAAAGAAAAAATATATAAAAGACATGTTATTTCTCACCAAAGATCTTTAAAAAATCCAAATTGAATCACAATTTTTTCAAATCACAATATTGGACAACTCTTTGGTGGAAATTGAGGAAGAAGAGTTATTTTGCCTACTGCAGCAAAACACACACCTTTTCTCCTAAAGCCCTCTGATGGTAAATAAATCCTTGAAAAAATGAAGGATGTGTGTGAATTATTTTATTAAGCAAGATAGCTCCCTCAACCACTTACAGACCTTATGCTTAGGACCGTGGATCGTCCTATTGTTTGTGTGTAAGCCCATTCCTTTAAACATTTCTCTTAAACACTTTACCCTTTCATACCTCGCGCTTAGGAGCAGTAAACCATAATAAGCATTGTAGCCCAAGACCTATATGCCACAAACGACTGCGGCCTTGTATGTTATAGTCACATTGGACACATGAGAAGTCTTAAATGAAAATAAGTGAGGTGATAACGTGCTTGCCACATGGACGAGATTAACACGTCATAAAGATTTTGGGAAAGAGGCCATCCGCCATAATCCTTGATGGAACAGGGGTATGATTGATTGAAAGAAGAAAGAAGAAGAAGAAGTAAGATGGAAGAAAGAAGATGATGATTTAACTTTAATTTGGAGAATAAAATGGAAGATGGAAGATGGAAGAAAGAAAAAAGTGATTTAACCCTAATTTACGCTAAATGTTCAATTTATCATTTTCTTACCTGGCATTCCGCCTTAACCATATTTAACATTTTTTCATACAAACTAACAGACGATACCAAATGGTTTAATAAAAGCGAAATTAAGAGATCATTGTGTAACGCTTTTTTTGATTCTGAGAGCGAAGCGAAACTTGGCTCAAAGTTAAGTCACATTAGACACATGAAAGGTCTTAAATGAAAAGAAGTGAGGTGATCACGTGCTTGACATATGGGCGAGATTAACACGTCATAAAGATCATGGGAAAGAGGCCACCCGCCATAATCCTTGATGGAACAGGGGTATGGTTGATTGAAAGTAGGGAAGAACCTTAGAGAGTTGAGACTTTTACTAGATCTAAAAGATTATAAATACTTATATAAAGGGCCATGTTAGACATCACATTCACAAATCATTGACTAAAGATATCTTCCTTGGGATATCATCGGCAGAGTTCATACTATTATACTCACTACAAGGTTGATCACCAATTTAATAATATTTGAACTTACAAATATGTGCGCAAAGTTATAAAGTTATCATTCTAATCAATAATTTTTACCGCTTCTTTTTGAAACATTGGTAACCATTTACTTTCTAAAAAAAAATTAGAATTGAAAATAACATAAAAATCTTTGGGCCCCAATTTTTACTTGAAAGTCTTCATTACTTGCTACAACAATATCTATTAGAGAAAAAAGTGAAAAATAAATAATATATTGACAAAAGAAACAGGGGGAAATTAAGCATGACATTTCATATCTTAAAAAGTCAATCAAATGTTGCCATTTCCAGTCTTGTTTTATGCACTCAATAAACAAACAAGAAGGAAGTAAGTGGCCGAAACAAGAATGGAAATGGCTCAATAACAATTATATATTTACGTACAAGTAAAGAATATGTAACATCAAGCTAGCTAGCTAGCTAGAGAAATATAACATGAATTAACTAGCCAATTAAAGATTATACAATACTAAAGTCTAGCTAGAATGGAAGAAATGGTAATAATCATGAGTTTGATTTAATAATTTCATGATCATTTGCATTGTGGATTGTTTCCAGGGCCACCATAGTAAAAGTGTGTCCCCCATTTGTTGTTGTAGAAGCTCTTGATATTGTAACAATTTTTGTTCTCAGCTAGGGTTAAGATGTTGCTCGCCGACGTGAGACTATTGTCCGTGTCGACGACCTCGAGGTTCCTGAAATAGCTTGCTTTTCCGAAGCCATCATCGGCGAAATGACCGGATCCCATTTGAGTGGAGGTGTGTTGGCCGTTGGCGCGAGAGTTTACAATCTCACCACCCCATTCGACCATGGTAGCACGGTCGGCTAAGTGCGTGAATAACTCGGCCGGCCAATATCCTACCAATGTGTTGTCACTAAAACGCATCCACCAGTTTCCAATTGTTGGATCCTAATCAATTATTCAACAATTATTGACATGTATAGAGTAATAATATATATTAAAATTAAACTAAATGAAAAATATGAACCTTCCAAATGAGGATAGTAATGTCATATTGTTTGGCATTATAAGAAGAAAGAGGAGAAATGGAAGCCCCAATGGCTATCTTGCTAGTTGTTTGTACAAAACCAGAACAAAGAAGATTGTAGCATCCTGTGGCTTGATATGCATCACTCTGCATGCATGCAAGCTTTTATATATATAATAATCAATATTAATTTATCTACGTAACACTAACACTGAAACGATGATACCAATAATAATATATAACATTGACACAACAATAACACTGACACTGAAACGTTGATACCAATAATAATATGAGAAATAAATAATTTAAACGTAATCAAAAATATAATCAGAAATAGAACACATATTCTAAATGCTAACCGTCCAGTAAGTGAATAATCTTGGCCTGCTGTCACCATAAAGCTCCGGACTGACCTGACTAGTACAATTATCAAAACTTCAGAAACTATATGTTTCAAATAAATATAATTTTTTTTTCATGAATTGAGATAAATAAAGATTGGAGTTAAGAATATATACCTGCCAACCAGCTTCAATGCTGTTTAAATCTGAGCCATCGAAGGATCCAGAAAGTATCCATATTTGAGAAATACTGAACTCATTCACAACTTCTATCATTGGATCCCACACATTTATTGTTGCTTTTGCCCCATACACTTCTTCACCTGCTTTTGTATATGCTATCGCATGCTACAACATTCAACCAGTTGTTGATAGTTGCGCAGAGATATCAGATGAAAAAATTTTAACTACTAAATTACTTGTTGAAAAAATGATTATACACACCTCGTGGCCATTACCGCTGACAACTTCAGGCGGTTCGGTATGGCGGAATAGACGCGGCGACCGTCGTTGTTTCTTACCATAATCATACAAAGATTTAGCTCTCAGCACATCATGCACCGTGCTCCGCCGTACCGGTACAGTTCCCTTTGGACATCTTGTTCCATTTTGATGCCACATTTGCCACGCGCCACCATTCTTAATGCTTCTCTCATTTATAGACTCTACATTAATATTCATATTCATCTCTTTTGGCATCATTGATGGCTTTTTCTATCACATTACCATAGTCAAACCAAAACTAATCAAAAATCATATAAAATTTAAATAAGTAATAATAATTTAATAAAAGACAAGTTAATGGTTAACAAAAACAAAAAACAAAAAAAAAAAAATTAATAACATCAAATAATTTTAATATTTTTTTTACTTTACTAGAATAACAAACCTGGATCTTATGATTCTTTAACAGAGGATGATCTAAAGCTGGTTGATTTCTTTTGTGAACACAATCAATGAGATCACCATCTTCACTCTACAACAAATATATTCAAAACCAAGCATTTAAATAATTTAATAATTATATAGAATAAAATTAAAAACATTTAGCTAGATTTGATACACACAAACACTATAATATTTTTTTAAGAATTAAATAGTGGAATATTACCTCTATGGTCAGAACAGGAGGCTTATTAATCTTGTCCAAGTGCCTCTGAATTCTTTCAAGTCTCAAACTACTAACTTGTCTGTACTTGGTGTAGTTTAGGTTGCTGCATTCAACTCTAATAATTGTTTGTAGATGGAAGGTGAACAATAAAGCAAGAAGAAGAAGAAGAAGAGCAGGAGTTGAAATGTTTTCCATAGTGTTTCTCTTTCAACACCAAGAAAGAAAAAAAAAAGAACTATAAAACCATTACTAGTAATATAATCAACACAAAGTAAATTTAACATTCATGGACATTTCCATTTCATTAGCACCAAATAATGAAAAGGAAGTTGAAAAATGACTTGTCTTGAGTTAAGAAAATAAAAAATATCTTTCTGTTTCTCTTTCTTATTCTATCTTAAATATTGTATTAATGGTGAGGAAAAGATGGTGGTTGAGGTTAATTAAATTGTTAGCTCAAAGAGAGCTTGTTGGACTATCATATCATGATTGAATTTTGCATTTTATTCATGTAATAATAACAATAATGGTACATGTATATATGATGATGAGTGAGGTATAAATTAGACATTGAATATGTGATGCTAGCTGTTGAAGATTGCACAAACGTTAAGGAGATAGGAAGAAAAGAGAAATTTGTGGTTGGAATGGCTGGCATCAAAGTTGAAAGATGAAACATAATGAAAGCATTATAAAAACTCAAACCTACCCAACTTGCATTCCTTCAATGTGTATCTGCCACCATACTCTTTGCCATTAATGTTTTCATCCAAACTCTACACCCATCTATACTCTAGTATTCTTTCCTTTCTCCATAGTATTATTATTACTTCTTTTCTAATATTTGATGCTTCAATTTTTGGACACACATGTTAAGAAACAAGATTAGAGATAGAGGTCATTGATGTCAAAATTTATATACAAAATTATATTTAGATTGTTTATGAATATTTATAAATTTAAGTATATGAAGACTAACTTATTTAATGTATATGAAGAGATAGATATGAAACTTTTATATAATCTCGTGGTATTCTCAACCGTCTCAAATTTTTATGAGTTTTTTTTTTTTTTTAAGAAGTTGGATTAAGTTTGTGAAATTTGTTTGATGGGTTCTATTTAATTATAAATTAATCGTGAAGTTTGTAAAATATTATTTTTAATTTCATCATGAAAATCTCAAATGAAAATCCCAAAAGTTATTCATATAGAATTTTAGTGTTTTCTAGTAAATTATCAAAATTAAAAAAAAAAATCAAATTCAAAGGCAAAGACTAAGAGTCTATTTGTTTTAACTCTAAAATAAATAGATTTTTCTTGTATATTTTCAAAAATGATTTTAAAAATATTACAAGTTTTTTAATTTTTTTTTCTAAATTGAAAGTCTAGTTTTGACATCTTATAACATAAACATACATTATCAAAGATTAAAACATAGTCGAAATCACAATTTTAAAAAAATTGTATCTTAAAACTAATTTTTATAAAAAGCTATTTGAAATAGCTTAAAAATTAAGTGATTTTTTAAAATTTTGATATCTAAATTTTTTTCAATAAAATGATAAAATATTTAAAATAATATTTTAAGAATAACTCTTCAAACTAAATTTTTGTTTAAAAGTTTTATAAAAAATTTCTTTGTAAATTTTTACACAAAAATATGTAACACTGTAATTTTTTTAAATAAAAAAGCTGAAACAAATAGGCTCTAAATGATAAAATCTTTAATCATGATCAAAGACCAAATAGAGGATTTCACAAAATTAATTTTCATCTTTAACCAATCAATCTTCCTCTTTAGTGCTAAGTTTCTTTTACTTTCTCATTTACCATATTTTGCCTCGCAGTTTTGGAAATACATCGGTTGCCTTGTGGATAATTTAGGGAGCACGTTTTGGCAACATTATTATCTACATTTTTTCATCTTTCATCACTATCTCAAAACCCTAGCAAATTTTGTTTAATCCCCACCCAAAATCCTAGTTTTTTACTAGTGAGGAAATAGAGAGCTTTTGGAGAGCAAAGAACTCTGAAAAAATTGAGAGAGAAAAATAGTTTCTTTTATGTTAAGAGTGGAAGGAAGAAGCTATTAGAGATCTTGCAAGTAGTACATAAGGTTTCAAATTTCAAAGGTCTTGGTTGGTAACTAAAATTCCATTTTGGCATATTTTACTTTGTAGAACTTTTGTCATGTAATAATATGCTTGTGTTGTGGCTATTTTTAATGGTTGAGTTAATAATTTTAAGTTCATTATAATACTTGTTGTAAATGTGCCTTAAAACCTTTATTGATAAAGAGAAAGAAAATATATTTTGGATATTGTATTTATCGCAAAAATCGAAAGTTTTAAAGTCGGACGAAAAGTCGAGAAAAAAATCGGTCGATGAATAGTGTCACCCCGTACGGTGAATAGTGATATTCGTACGAATGAATAGTGATGTCCGTACGGTGAATAGTATTGTCCGTACGGTAAATAGTGTTTCTGAGTTTTCGGGCTTTTTTCGATTCGGTCCATGGATCCATGTGATTTTGGGCTTTGTTTGTTGGGTATTTGCTATTATAAATATGTATCTCTTATATGCTTTGTGTGTGACAATCTTAGAGTTTTCACCAACAAGGGAGACCAAGAGTTTAAAGATATAACATAGGGTTTCAGTTTCAGCTATGCACAAAGAAAACCTTGGATTACACTTTGGGTTTTAGTGATTCATATATTGACAATTGGAGAGGTAGGGAAACACTTGAGTAAAAAATATGGTTGTTCTTGGGCGCCTTCAGGGTTGTTCTTGGGAACCTGGAGGCAAATGTTATTTTCTTGTAACTTATCTTTAATCTCTTGCAACAACTTTCTGAGTATAGTGAATTTGAGAGGTGTTATCTCCCCCAGAGTAGATCGTTTAATCGAACTGGGTAAACAAACCTTCGGTTTTTCTTCCTTATTCTGTTATATCATCTGTGTACGGATTATTATTGATAAAGACCATTTATTTTGGTTACTATTGTTCTTTGCCTCACAAATTAATATTTAATTTTGTCGTAATTCACAACAAGATTCACAACAAGTGGTGCGGTGAGCGTGGAGCAAAGAGATATTGTTGAAAAGTGAGCACCATGGTTAGTAGATGGCAGATCGAGAAATTTTCTGGTAACAATGACTTCGGGTTGTGGAAAATTAAGATGCAAGAAATTTTTATTCAAGAGAGGTGTATCGATGCTTTGAAGAGTGAAACATTGATGCCTGCATGGCTTACATAGGTACAGAAGACTGAGCTAGTGGATAAGGCCAGGAGTGTCATTATCTTGTGCCTCGGGGATAAAGTTCTAAGAGAAGTCGCTAGGGAGAAAACTGCAGTTGCTATGTGGGCAAAACTTGAATCATTGTATATGAAAAAGTCTTTGACTCACAGGTTGTATCTGAAACAATAACTCTATTCATTCTGAATGTGGAGAACAAATCCATAGTTAAGCAGCTCATAAAATTTCACAAGATTATCGATGATCTTGAGAATATTGAAGTGGAGATTGATGATGAGGACAAGACTTTGCTCCTATTGAGCTCATTACTCAGATCCTTTGAGAACTTTAAGGATGTCGTTCTTTATGGTAAAGAAGGTACTATTAATTTGGATGAAGTCCAGACGACGGTGAAATCCAATGAATTTTCAAAGTCTAAATATTTGAAGATTGAAGATAGTGGTGACGGCTTAAATGTGTCAAGAGGATAATGTGAGCGTAAAGGGGTGTCCAAATCAAAGAGGTCTGACAAATCAAAGGTAAAATGTTTTAATTGTTAGAAAATCGGTCACTTTAAAAGGGATTGTCCTGAAAGAAAGATCAATGAAGATTCTGTTCAAGCTGTAGTTGCATTGGGTGAGGAAAGTTATGAGGATGTCGAAGCACTAATGGTATCGAGTTTGGAAACTGAAGACAGTTGGGTCATTGACTCAGGTTGTTCTTATCACATGTATCTAAGAATAAAATACTTTGAAACTTTGAAGATGGTGCAAGGTGGAGTAGTTCGCCTTGGTAATAATAAGGCATGCAAGGTTCATGGTATTGGTACGGTTAGATTTAAAATGTTTAATGATCATGAACTTCTTATTCACAATGTGAGGTATGTTCTAGAACTCAAGCGAAATTTGTTATCTATAAGTATGTTTGATGATATAGGCTATTGTACTAGAGTTGAACGTGGAGCGTTGAAGATTTCGCGTGATGAATTGATTATTGCTAAAGGGTCTAAAATATGCGGTCTATATATTTTAGAAGGTTCAAATGTTATTATTCATTCATCGTTAACTAGTGGAGGCTTTAATGACAAGGAAGAGCTATAGGATTTGAGTTTAAGGTGTTATGAATGCCTTGAGAAAGTCTCAGAGGAGTACAATGAATTTTGCAGAAATCAAGGGATAAAAATGCATGTTACCGCTGAATTGTTATTGAGTTTTTGGGGAAGAGTTGAGGTTAAAACAACTTACTTGGTTGGTATAGAATTTTTCAGAAGAAGAATAGTGAAAACCAAGGGAGAAACCTGAGAGAAACTATAACGCAGAAAACTCAGTTTGAGGTGGAGTTTCCTACTATGGATGCTAACAGTAGTGAGGGAATAGTTACAGAGATCTCTGATTATCATTTGACTCATGATAAGGTAAGGAGGGTTATTGTAGCATCTCAAAGGGACGGTTATGCTAGCCTTGGATGTTATGTTTTTAATGTGGCTGAAGGACTGCAAAATAAAAGAAGAAAAACCTTCAGGGAGGCATTTGAAAACAGGTGGAGTCAAGGGTGGTTGAAAAATTATACTTGTAGGCTTGTTAAATTACCTAGGTAGAAAAGGGTAATTGGGAACAAGTGGATGCAAGTTACGAGATCAAGATTCAAGGGTTGTTTGAATTTGATCAAAGTTATTTATTAAAGTTTCAACTTGGTAGAGAGCAGCAATGTTGTTGATTGTTAAATTGGTATCAACACGGTTTAAAGTCAATGGGAGATTGTTGTAAATGTGTCTTAAAACCTTTGTTGATGAAGATAAAGAAAACATATTTTGGAGATTGCATTTACCGCAAAAATTGAAAGTTTTAAAGTCGGACGAGAAGTCGAGAAAAAAATTGTTCGATGAATAGTGACGTCCGTACGGTGAATAGTGTTGTCCGTATGATGAATAGTGACGTCCGTACGGTGAATAGTATTGTCC